TAGCCACTCGCCGGAAGTATTCAATCTGCAGGCCACGCAAATCATCAGAGAAGCAGCAGTCAAGAGGTCAAAGGGACACGCTGCATCAGGTCCATCTGCTGCGCACAACCTCGTCACGGTGTTGAAAAGCAAGGGTGGCACTGTGAGGACTGAGGTTTGCCTGAGCCGGGCCATGGTGCCGTCAGTGAGCGCACCTGTACACACGTGACAGTTACCCACGGAAGACGGAAGAGTGAAGAAGAATCGATGGGGCTGCGCAGAGAACACTGAACGCACCGCCAAGCGCTCCCCAGATGCCAGGGCAACGGCACCACGTCTCCCGCTCCAGAGACGTCATTTCGGGCCGGACAGTCGCTGGAGAAGGTCAAGTGCAGGAGAGAGACGAAGAAGACCCACAACGAGAGGGAGGGACAGTGGCTACAGCACGGGGCTCAGACACAAGAAGAATGGGGAGGGGCCGTGGGCCGGGCAATGTGTCCTTCTGTTGCCCACGGGTCCCTGGGAGTTGGCGCCCACGGACTTGATGGCACCTAGCAACAGTATCCCAGCAAGCCCTGGGCCAGACGACATCATCCAGAGGGCCGGTCTCTGCCCTTGTCCTGTCCTTGTCCCGCTGTCTGTCCTCCAGCTCCTGACACCGTCCCTTCAAGGACACCTGGCAGATGGGGTGGTACAGCACGTGGCTTTTTGAGATTGGCGAAGAGCCCGGACACTGTAATGGCTACATTTTGGGCCGCCAACCGTAAGGTCAACAGTTCAAAACTACCAGCCGCCCTGCGGGGGGAGGATGAAGCTTTCTACGCGCACAAAGACTTTACAGCCTCGGAGGCCCACGGGGACACAGCGCACTCTGAGCGCCCCGCTGAGCCGACGGCCGCCCAGGCTGTCTGTGCGTCAACCGCTCGTTCCCTGTGCTGCCGAGAGCAGGTGGTGACAGTGCCATGCCAGCCTGGTCAGGCCTGCACCCGTCAAGGGACACGTGTGGTGGCTCCCAGAGACAGAGTCACCAGACAAAGAGGCCCAGATACAGGTGTGTGTGTGTGTGTGTGTGTGTGTGTGACTCCAATTGCATTTCTTGGGAGTAGAGGACAACCGTTGAGTCCATGCTAAGTTTTAGAAGCAACTGCCCAACGGTGTAGACTTTTGTAGTGCTCCTTCTGAAGGCCCAGCGAGTCTGCGAACGGGCACTGACAAGAAGGTTGGAGGTTTGAATCCAGTCAGCCACTCCATGGGCAACGAACCCGGCGATGGCCTTCTGGACAGTCACGACAAGCAGCACTGCTGGGCGGCCCTAGGTCACACGGGCGGCGGAGCCGGGAGCGGGTCGACAGCCCCTACACCTGCGAAATCACCCCAGCCTGCTGGTCTCCCCTGGGCCCCTCCGCCTCCCTTAACACCTTCCTGGGCTGCGTCTCTCCGCTCGGTGTTGCATCCAGGTTGCCAGACATCGGGGAACTCTAGTCCCCTTTCTAAGGAAGCACGCGGCCTGAGCTTTCGACACCCTCTATTGTATCTGCGCCCCGCCCACGACCGCTCCCAGCCCACGACCGCTCACCTCGGATC